TCCTGTGTACTCTTATTTGGCCTGATAATAAACACATCTTCCTTCATGATCATCTCCCTCCTGTGCCCTGGTATACACAGCGATGCTCCCCACAGGCATGTGGTGTGCTGGGCTGTGGGAGAGCAAAGTGTCACACACCAGGCTTCTAAAAATAATGCAGCTGAATCAGCTCTGGAGGGCTTCATCCCACAAACCCTCCTCCTACAGTGACTTTGGGAAGTTTTTCACTGTCAGAACAGTCCTTTATTCTGTAGGGCAGCTTTATCCAAAGCAGTGTCCAGCACAAAGGCTCTAGTGCTACCTCAGCTTCACTGCTGAAGGAAGAGGACCACCAGCCTACCTAGGAGGGGTTCAGTGCTGACTAAAGGTGTCCAGCTGACCTGAGGGCCAGATAAAAGCTTAGACTGGGGAAAAAAAAATCTATTGTAGCATTTAAGCATAAGGAGATTCCTCAGGCATGTAACTTGTCTGCTGAGCATCTCTGGCTGACAGGTATTAAAGACACACACAGAGGAGGTGAATGTAAGTTGTCAAGGCTGTTGCCATAAGCATTTACCCGTCAAAGAGAAGCTCCTGGTGAAAGGCAGCCCTTTAGATAACACTTTTCCAGAGTATCAACACTGCAGCACCATCTAGATTATTTCTTCTGTTGTGCATCAAAAGCCACAGCACTTTTAAGAATTAATAATAGCCCCATACTCACTAGTAGATTTTTTTTTTTTAGCAAAGCCTGTTTTTAAGTTTCATTTGGACAGGATGTTGTTTATCACCACTGCTTAGTATACTATTTTTTCAAGACTGTGACACAGTGCTACAAATGCTAGAGAGCCATTATTTTGACATAAAATATACATTGTGAGTGTGATGGGTATGGCAAGATCACATTAATTCTGAACATTTTGTTTATCTCAGTCTTGAATATATGGACTATGTAGTCATCTGGCTGCTTGCTTATTTGAATGTCTTAATTAGGATATTTTGAAAATCTTAATGGCTCTTAAAGTAATTTGTAAGAATAAGGTCTATTGTGTTTTCACAGAGGTGTGGCTCCTGTAGTCAGCAGCAAAGTGTGAAATGGAGTGAGCAAATGCAATGCACATAGGAAATGGCACCCTTGGGTCCTCTCTGCCCAAGTGGTGAGGACAGTAATTGGGATGTAAGGACCGAGTGGTTACATTTTTTTGCTACGTGTGTGTGGGGTGTTAAGCACAATCATGAGGCCCCATAGTCCTGGGATGATAATGACCACAGCTTTCCTGTGCTACCCCATCATAATCCTCAATCCTGAACTCAGCCCTCTGGTGGAGGGGAGATATATTAACCTGCACCATTTATGCACTCCCTGATCTCTCTGAAAATGTTAATATAATAGAATTTCTAACTAATGCTAAGTATGAAGGCTGATTTTGGTGACTGGATGGATTTCCAGTAAACTGAGATCACCATGATCCAGCACACATCTTCAGTTCCCTAGAGAAGTACACAGCATAAACTTATCAAAAGAAAATAATAATTCTTTACATTTTACAGTGAAAGAACAAAACTTAGTTATATCCAGAGATATAAGACCCAGTTGGAAAACTGTGGTATACTTGGAAAGGCCATCTGAGCAGGACTACAATGTTCATACCCCATTACCAGGCCCAAATTACATTGTTTGTGTATGCCTGAAAAACTTCATGCTGCTTTTGGACAGGATGACGAGTATCTCTGGGGAGCACCATGAAAAGGTCATGTGTATCTCACAAGACCATCAAAAATCCCTAGACTTTTAGCAAACACATTAATTCATGTTGAATAGCTCACATTCCAGCTATAGTTCTATTTTTAGGTTATTTGTTGCGCTTATATAAAGAAGTGCCACTAGTTTTGAAGCATTTTTAAAGACACAAAGGTAGCTGTTCTGTTCTTTGCAAGAGGCTGTGGGGGAAGAGGCTGCTTCCACTACACCACCAGCTGCCAGCTAATGGAGCTGCAGGGAAGGAGCCAGAACATGGCAAAGTGACCCGTGCTGGAGTGTGAGCTAAATGCTCCACAGTGAGCTGGGGAGCTCCTTGTTAAACTGATCCATTGTTTTGTCCTCCTGGGAACCTTAATAAAATCCTGACAGCAAAGCAAGTGCTCATTACTGAAAGAGCACATCAGTATATCTCAGGTCAGCAATGACCTGAGCTAATGGTTTACTCCTTGATCAATATCTGATATTTTCCTAATGGATAACTACTTTTTCCTATTGCAGTGTTGAAGGGCCAAAAGTTAGAGAGGCAAGGTTTTCCCAGGAAAAACAGAACAGCCCCTTAAAATCGTTAACATATCCAGAATACAGCAAAAGTACTCTACAAAATGGTGGAGACAGCCACCAGGCAGAGTTGTGATAAGGATTTCTAATGGGCACAGACAAATTGCAATGGCACTTCGAATTTGGTAGCCAAGTTATGGAAACCTACACATGATTGTTTTCCTCAAGATTTGTTCTGGAAAAAAGCACTTTCCAAAGAACCCCCGAGTGATGTTTTTCTGTATAACCACATTCAGAATAGATTAACTACAAAGCAGCAGGGATAAAGCAGGCTGCTGGCATGAATTAAGTATATGGAAGCATGACTGTTTAAATGATAGCTAGGCCAAAATTATGGGCTCTACTAAAGATGACTTAAAACTGGGTCTTCATCCAGAATTATATGTCTTTTATTCACTAGAAAGCGCCACAATAAACCGAGACCTGTTCATTGTCCTGTTCAATTATTGCAAAATGGAACCATTGTCCTGTTCAGTTCTTCAAAAAGAGAATACTGGAACTGTAACATGGTCAAATTGTCCTCTTTTGAGCCTCTGATAATAGAATTAAAACACACCATGTGATAGTTTACACTTTTCCCCTATTAATTCCCTCACTACCAGCCTTGCAAACTCTCTATCTTCTCAGTATTGAAGTAATTGGCTTAAAACAGTAAACATGAACACCACATAATGGAGCACAAAGTATTTAAAATATGCCAAGGTATTGATATTTTCTGGTTTCTAGGCAGTTTATAGATAGGTAAGCAAATTTAGGAGCCCAGGATTGTAAAGCAAGTCCATCAAAAAGTCACTGAATTAAACAATAACACATAGCCAGAAAATATCTTCCAAAGACCAAAGAGAATAAAAATTATGTAAACCAGGCAATGAAAAGTGATCGCTTGAGACATGTGTTCTATATCCCTGTCAGCTTAGGAGTACTATGAACATGAAATATTACCAAAATACTTGATTATACCATAAGAAAAGGTAGCCTAATTGTGCAGACTAATACCAGAAGCTGTATGCAAATGTATAATCTTAGCACATTGCTCAATGCTGCTACAAATGGTATTTGATCTTGTGGGACCACAAGTTTCTTGTCACTCTAGTTCCTTTTTTATCACCTCATGATTTTTAACCAGAGCAATGTTTCCAGAGTCCCCGTTACCAATAGAGAATTATACATACCCTTAAGCATATGCTTATGAGAAGCAGCATATCAAGCTCATCACTTAATTACTTGATAGAAAATTATGTTTAGACAAAAGATATAATGACAAACTAATGAGTTCCCAGGACAGCTGAAAATAATGGTGCAGTGCAACCTGCATATTTGTGATCCAGATGTTTGTTTTGGTTTGCCTTACGTTCAGAGCAAGACTTAAAACTCAAATCAAATCACAGTGGTTTCTCACAAATTTGCCTTAGCTTTTATAACAGTAATTAAAAGCAAACATTCATGGCTTGAAGTACATATAAGAGTAGGAAAACATACTCCAGAATTCTCTGGATTATGCAAATTATAAAAAATACACTTATCCATGGTTCAAAGTTCACAGCAGAAAATAAAAACAGTGCTCTACAACTTGAGTCAATATCAAATTGACTGAGTATATCCCCAAATTCAAGACATGCGTTAGAATGTTTAGTTTCCCTAAAATCTGCCCAACCATTTGGAGCTGAGTGTAGAGTGATGATTTTGAACTGCAGTCACAATTTATTGACTAGGCCCATATTTGCTATAGAAATTGATACAGTGCAATAACTTAGGGCTTTACTACCACTGAAAACAAGCTGACTGATTTTAGCAGGTTTTGAATTGAGTTCTCCATGGGCACACATAAATCACCTCTCTACTTTATCTAGCTCAATACTTCCTAGCATATAACTGCATTTTCTTGGGGATTTGCACATTTCAAGGATAACTGATCGCTCCTTTCCTACTAGATTGTTTTGATCTAGACTTACATGAATTACTTGCATACTTCAGTTGTGCTGTGCTTATAATCATGCCAGCTAAAATTATGGAGTCAATATTTAATCTGTTTATCTCATGGTAATAGCCAACACTGTCAGCAGTAAAGAATGCATTAGAACAGGGTGCTTCAGTCAAACTCTTTGGAAATGTGCAATACTCAGAGTAGTTGCCAGCATTTCCATTGACAAGTCAGATTTTGAAAACTATAAACAGAGAGGGAAACATTTTTAACAGCTAACCTTCAGCAGATAGCCCTCACTCGAAAGCAATTTGTAACTTTTATAAATATCAGCCCATAAAGACATGATGACATGTTTTAGTCTCAGTGAAACACGTTGCAGAAAATCTTGGCACAGTTTACTTAACTCCTCTTATATATGTAAACCATATTTGACCTCCTGCAAGACACTTCCAAATACCACATTCACTCTCTCACTGGGGAAAACACCTAACCAGTACTTCCAGGATTATGAATTGATTTTAATTTTCAGGTCTTTTTGAGTTCAAATTCAAGGGACCTAATCAATTCAGTTTTGAAATATAAATTTGTACCACTTGTATCTCATTTCCTAGTTTGAATTGATTTCTGAAGACTAGCCTATAGATTACTCTTGAACTCTTTCAAGTTCTTCAAAAGTCAAGACTGCAAATCAAGTAGTGTCTGTTCTACATGAAATGAAAAACTTATCCCAAGCTGTGACTAAAAATGAAGTAATGTGGACACTTTTCAAAGGCTTACCCGTTATCCAAGAGCAAGGGTGAGAAGAAAATAGAGAAGTCTCTCCAATGCTTGAGTGCCCGTATTGCAGAAGGCAAGCCACAAAAAGGAGTCACTTCTGGCAAAACCTACAAGACCTAGAGGGAAAGAAAGGGATCCCTAAAACTGTGATAGAAGAAGCTCTGAAGAAAAAGCTCAAAATCTGTCACGTATTTTGAAAGAGCTGTGAGGCCATACAAACCCAGGGACACTCAAAGCAGACACCCCCATAAGACACGGCAGTTTGGTGAAATCAGGAGACCTCCTCTCTGCTTTTTCAGCCTCACCAGCTATACTTGCTAAGACGCAAAGGAAACAAGACGCAGCTGTGGCCAAAAGGGAGAGAAGAAAACTTGGAGCAAAAATTCTTAAAATTGGAAGTGCTAAAGCCTTTGGCTGAATGCACATACCTGGGTCCTCAAGCAGCTGAGCAGGATTTGCTATCTAAAAAAAAGCTGCCGTTCTCCAGAGACAACACCACGCTCCTTGCACAGCTGGCTGAAGACACTGGCTTGGGTCTCAGCAGTTACACAGATTTATCAACAGGGCTTCAGCTGGGGCTTATGAGTCCCACCTGTTCCTGCAATTCATTGGCCAAGGAGCACCTGCTGGCACCCTGCCCACACCAGCCTTCTGCCCCAGCTGGGGGCTGGGCTGTCCTGAGGTAACTTTTCTGTTCCCATCACAAAGTACAAATCCTGTTATTGTTGGTACTATTTATAATTCTTGATTAAGCAACTGAAGGCTGAGTAATTGCTGATTCCAGCATGTGGAAGGTCTCAGCCCTGCAAGGATTTCAAAACCAGTATCACAGACTAAAAGCCCCTCTCTGCAAATAGATCTCGTTCCCATGAAAACTGCTTTTTCTGCAAATTAGCATTTGCTAACTGCCACAGGAGTCCTGCAGCCAAACTTCCTCCCTTGCTGTCATCACCATGGCCTACTAAAGGGAAACTTCATGATGCTTTAAAATCAACTTTTTGGTCGTCTCAGAGAATCTCAAGATTTTCCAAGCAATTCTTCTAGTTGAGTGGCAGATTACACATAGGAGAGCTTAGTCCTCAAAAACCCCTGCCACATGTTTGTTCTTCTGCCTGGGTTTGGCTTGAGCAAAATACCCCAGCACCTGTGACAGTTTGAGCACACAGAGCTGGTTACCTTTGTGCTTAAGGTGTGCCCAGTTAGAGCCTGAGCTGGTCTCGCTATGCTGGCAGGTAACTTGTATTTGTTGAACTTAAAACCACTATAACTAGGCTGGCAAAAGCATTTCAGTGTAGAAAAAGCAATTTCACCCAAGGGCAATAAAAAAACAGCCAAGATATAGTTCCTAAATTCTCTGTATCCTTCGCCACGGTTGCCTGCAGTTGATGTTGCTATGCTTTTTTCTGGGCAAACATGTCAGGCCACTTTCTGCTGAAAGAAGTTCAGCCAAATTTCAGCCAAGCAGGAAAATGTTTTGACAAAACTACACAAATCTGCAGTGGGGAAAATGGTCTCATGTAGTGAGCTATCCTATTATTAAACTTGGGAGAAAGCTACAAAGCCTTGTGTCAGAATTCAACATCACTGAAACATCACAGAGGCCACAGACCTGCCTGGTAGGTTGTCAATTTTTTAAAGAAACACATTCCATGGGCCATAGATGAGTGAATCAACATAGATCTGTGGCCTTAGATGAACTCTGAATGTCCCCAAAACCTTGCAAATGCAGGCCAAAGCCCCAAGTCACCAGAGCACAGATTTAGCTTTATGTCAACCTGACTTACAATGTTTACATAGTATTTGCTGAATGGGAATAAGCTTTGGAAAAAAGATGAGGCTCAGTGTAAAAGACTGTGCCTTGCATCTGGCATCTGAAGATTTCACAGGATGGAAATCTGGACAATGTCTTAGAAAAAAAAATCATAAAAATTAACAGTTCGGCATCACACAGAGAATATTCTGCTGGGGCTGCGTTCATGCTTCTTACTCTGTTTCCAATTAACTTGATTTTAGAGCAATGGATGCTCTCCAAAAATTTACATAAATAACAAGTACAGTGAAAACTACAGATTTCCTAGGGTGTTTTAATTTAACATTAAACAGATGCATTTGCCCTAAAGACTAAATTCAAAGTTTGCTGCCTAAAAGCATTTAAACCATTTACAATGGAGAACTTCCTATCTAGAAGGAATATACCCCAAGAGATTCATATGCCTGCTTGGAACTATTCAATATGGCCAATATTTTAAAAGCTTATAGCCAGGTCAATCCCTGTGGTGCATTCATCCATCATTGGTATGAAAATATGATTATCAGATTCTCCAAGAAATATGTATTTATGAAATGTTCCCATGAGCATAACCTGCAGGGCCTGCTCAGGTACCAAACCTGTTGAAATGGATTTCTCCCTGAAGGAGGTATCCCCCTATTTAGTTACCCCCAGGTACTCATGCCTTTGGCTCCTAAATCTCCCAGTGTCCCACAGTGGTTGGGGAGCTCTGGCTGAAAGGGAAAGCAGACACAGGTAAACTGAGCCAGGGAAACTCGTGCTTGGAGGAGCACAAGCAAGAGCAGGGCCTGGCAGAGATGGGGTGGGGAGCCCAAGCTGCTGGGTCATGCAGGAATAAAGGAAAAATGTCTCAGCCAACAGGAGCTTGGACAGCAAAGGTAGGGATGAACTTTCACAGAAATAGATACAAATATTCAGGTCTTGGCAGGCACTACTTTGGAGATTCATCTTCCCCTTCAGATGTATCTATACATGACTACTCTTTTGGCATCCTCTTAAGTAATTTCAAAGCAGACTAGTCATGTACTTTGCATGCAAGCCAGGGTATTATACACTGAAAAAGGGAGAGAATATTTTAGTAGATCCATGTGATTCACTAAGAATCAGTAACTTCTCATGGAAAACTCTCACTGAGTCTGCTGAGAGCCTGTGTTTTTTCCTTCTTCCCTGTTATTTATTTATTAAGGAGATTTGGATGACAGCAAGGTTATTTTTTTCTTGAAGTTCAATTTCTTCTCCTTCATCTAAAACCACAAGCAGCTGACTGTGAAATTGCAATTCCTCATGATGAAAGAGAGAACATTTGCAATAAGACAATAAAGGAAGGCTGTTTAAGGCCAGAAGGAAGCATCAAGTTTTCAAAACAAGCAAGATATGGTGCTTGAAGGTATAAAAAATATATTATCTGAAGATTTATAAGGATAACTGGATCTTTAAATAATGCTGGTATTTTCTGGCACTTTTCCTGCAGCTTTCTGCAAAATCCTTAACACTGGAAAAACTGTCTTGATTTCTTCTACAGTTTTCTGGTAATTACACCAGTCCATTTTATCCATATTCCTGATGCTTTCTAGGAATTCACCTTCTGCTTTCTAAAAATTCATTCCCTGCTTCCTAGGAATTTTCCCACTACTTTCTAGGGCTTCCTTACTTTTAGAAATTCTGATAATTTCTAGGAATGTCCTGGCTGTTTTCTGGGAACTTTTCCTACACAATTTTCAGAGAGTGTTCTAGGAATTCACATGCTGCTTTCTGGAGATGTTCCTGATGCTTTCTAGTACTTCTCTCCCTGTTTTCAATTATTTTTTTCCATCTTTCTAGAAATTCCCTACGTTTTTTCGGAGAACCTCCTGTCAGCAGTAGGAGAAGGGATGCTCAGAGAAGGAAGCTGTGAACAACCACAGTGCAGACAGGACTGGGCCCCATGGCAGCTTCTTGGGGCCAGCAGAGCAGAGCTGGGACAGTGGCTGTTCCATCAAAGGGCAAGGAGCAAGTGGTGTCCAAAGTCAGTCCAGGAAATCCCAATGAGTATTCAGGAACAGCAGGAAATGGGGTTTGAAACAGGCATGCCTCTATGGTGTAGCTCACACAGACACATTTTGGGGATTGGCAAACATCCTCATGGAATAATTTCTGCATTCAATGTTTTGTACAATAACTTATAAGAAACTCTGTATTCCCTATACAATGATGAATGGCTTTAAATTTTTAACACCAAAAATTCTGAAATGTAAATTTCAGAATTTTCCATTTATAATCCATTACAGAACTGGGATGTGGGCTGTTTCTTTTTCCCTTTGGAAACGCATGAGAATTTCTTTTGATGCAAAATTATTTCATCATAAACTCAATTTAAAGGTATGGCTTCTCGAGTTGTACTTTCTTCTGTTTGCTACATTACTAATTTACTGGTACTAAAATATTTAGACCATGCACTAAAAGTTACTTTCATAATTCCTGTCCATGTAGTAGAAAATAATTATTATGGGTTCCACTACAGGACTCTTATACTTGCTGAAGTTTAAAGCTGATTAACACAAATATTTGATAAGAGTTTTATTACTACCGATGTGTTACTCAGTTCCTTTACTATTTATAAACAGCTGGCCAAACATGTTTCAAAATATGTTTGAAAGCCCTTGGATTCACTTAGAGTCCAAGTTGATACCTTGTGTGGGAGTGAAGAATGAATTTTAAGTGCTGGCTTGACATTTGAGGTGTATCCTCATTGCATAATGAAATATGAGGCATATATTACACAAAAGCACATTTTTCCTGAGAGCTTCTATTTCTTTAAATTCCATTGTTTAATATTTCATATGTAAAAGGTGGGACCCACTAAGTATTTAGCACATACACAGACAAGAGAACAAACCTTCCTACACATAATTTGCCAGCTGCTACACAAGCTGTTAAAATACTTGTGCATATAATTTTCACTGCTCTGTGTTGGATGCTAAAGGTTGGACACCCTCACTACAAAATCACTACTAGAGACAGAATTCTACAGCAGAGGACAGAACTATTCACTGCCCATCAGTCTGAAATACACTGCAAATGCTCTTGTAACTCAAGTGGTGAAGTAGAAGCCAGGACTCCATAAAATTCCTGTGCCTCTGAGCCTGGTTTGTGGAGATGTGTTATGCACTAAAACCATCTTGAAAGGATACTTGTCAACTTCTTTAGACCTCAGACTCTGTGAACTGTCTAAAATACATGTAATGTCCCCCAAATGCTGTTAGGATGTGAAGTATACACATTCTAACAAAGCTTTGCACTACTTGTGAAGGACCTGTTATTTCTTTCAACCCCTATTATAAGACGAATTTGGACTTTCATGTCTTAAGAACATAAAACAAAAATGTAATGTAGGTAGTGATATTTTAGAAGTACTTGTTCTGGTAACTGATGCTATATTCTTGGGGGCAGCTGTTCATACAGTGTATGGGAAGGTGTTTAAAACTGTTTATGCAGATCTGCCTTAGGAATCATTCTCACTGAGCTTTGCTACAGGTGAGAAATTTTCTCTCTAGGAGAGAGAAAATTGCTGCAATTCAGCTTCTGCTTATGGCCATCTAGAAAACCATGGTATGGCTTAGTCTCTTTATCATGAGGCTCTTGATATATTTGCAAAGGCAGTTAAGAAAATAATCTTTAGTAAATAAAATTTCAAATTTCCAAAAACCTCTAATTTCTACCTCTGCAGACCATTTGTATTAGTCTACAGCAGACTGTAACCTGCAGCACCAACC